GTGGGACTGGGCCCGGGGAGGCTGGAGCTTCGGGGCTCCGGTCGGGGCTCCGGAGGCCGGCGCGAGCTGCGGGGGAGGGGCGGTGACGCGGACAGTCACCTCGGGCGAGCCGCCGGACGGCAGCGGGGGTCGAAGGGAGGGGGGTGGGGCGGGACGCCTACACTCCCCCAACTCGAGCTCCTACTATGTGCGAGGCCGGATCGGGGTCCTCGCCGGAGCCCCAAGCCTACTCCGCAGAAGGGGAAACTGAGGCTCGCTTTGGGACCTTGGACGCTTTAATACCTGAGTCATTGCCTTCAATCCCCCACTCCCAGATGACAGTGTCTCTATTTTCACGTGTAAAAATTGCGGACCAGAGACAGGGATCATCATGACTGGCGGAACAGAGGGGTGGGGAAGGACATCTTTGAGCCCCCACGGTGTACTTGGGTGCTTTTTTTTTTATAACTAAATAATTACCTTTAATTATATTAACTCGAGATGGGTTATATTGCACCCATTTTACAGGGAGGGTAAAACAGGCTGGACAGAGGCGGTGACTGCAGGGGGACAGGGTTGAGAACAACACTTCAGAGACCAACTGTGTGCTGGGTTCCTTTACCTTTTTAATCCCACAGTAGTCCCCCAAGGAAGACTGTAGTCTCTAATAGATGGGGAAGCAGGTTGAGGGAATTACCAGTTGGGAGGAGGAAATTGACATCTTTGAGGACACGTTGCTCTCAAATCCCCTCTTTAGAATGACAGAAAATGGTCTGGGCTTGAATCCCATTTCTCCCTTTTACTGACCGTATGACCTTGAGCAGTTTACTTCGTTCACCTCTCCATGCCTCAGTTTCCCCATCAGAGAAGTGGAGATTCTGACTGTCCCTATCTTACTGTTTTTTGAGATCATTCTATGAATTTGGACAGCTGTTCTAAAAGCAGGAAAACAGCCGGCACATAGTAGGTGCGCTTACCACTATTTAGTCCTCAATTCACCCCTGAGAGAAATGAACTGAAGCTCCAGAGCCTAGAAGAACATTTTGTCGTCTTCTTTGCTACTCCTAGTGCTTTCTGTGGATTGTGTGGTCCCATTTCCAGGGTCGGGGAACCTGAAGATCAGCGAGATTAAATGATGTCGTGAGGCATTACTTGTTTAAGCGCTGGGCTGGGCACTTTCTCCCACATCGGCTTATTCATTTCATTGGCCTCAATTCGCGGAGAGGAAAGCCGATGCCCAAGAAGCTTGAGCGGGATTTGAACCCCCGGAGTCCTCAGCCCCCTCTGACGCGGGTCCTTGACCTTTGCTCGCCAGAAGAAGGAGGGGCCCCTGGCGCTGCTGCTGCCGCCGCTGCCGCCCACCTGGCAACAGGCTTATCCCCGCCTCCCGCCGTCCCCCTGTCTAGAGCCTTGCAACTCCAGGACCCGCCCCCTTCCCAAGCCGGGCAGGTGCTGGGTGACATCAGAGCCGGGCTCCCTCCCGGTGACGTGACGTGGCCCCGCCCCGCGCTGGACCGCGGAGGTAGCCGCACCTGAGAGCTCGGAAGAGGACTTGGGTTCCCGTGCCTCCTCCCCATCTTCCCGCTTCCTGTACCAAGCCGGCGCCCCCCAGGTAGCCCCGAGGATCCGCGGGTTGAGGGGACAGCTACACGGGCACTTGGGTCTCAGGGAGATGGGGGTTGGGTGCTGAGATTCCGAGATCTGAGGAGAGGGGCTGGGGGTCAGGAATGCCAGGTCTGATTAAGGACTGCTCTGGGAGTCTGGGCTCCTAGGTCTGGAGGGAGGAAGGCACTGGTGCCAGGACTCTGTGTCTGGGAGCCTGAATTTGTGGGTCTTGAAGGAGGAAGGGGCTGGGGACCCAGGTTTCCGAGTCTGGGGGCAGAGCAGACCCCTGAATCCTAGCACTAGACTGAGGTCAGAGGGCCAGGTGCCAAGGGCCCCAGCCCCTGCCCCAGGGGCGGGTCCCTGGCTCCTTTTCCTTTCCAGCCCAGCAGTCTCTGCCCCTCCCAGGGTAGGTGCTTTCACCTGCGCTGGTGACAGAAATGAGCCCTGGCAAAGGTGTTCCTGCAGGCTAAGGAGGGTGGGGCTGCCAAAGGGGCAGGCCCACCTCATCAGAGCTGTATCAGCCCTCAGAATCTGGATGTCCCAGGCGTCTTCAGCTCTAGCCCGCCTGCAGTAAGGTGAGGGGGCTCGGACTCATGGGTCCAAGCGAGGAGGGGGCTGTAGGTTCTGATTCCTGGATCCTGGATGAGTAGCCTGCTGGGGGCCCAGACTCCTGAGTCTGGAGGAGGAGGGGGCTGGGGGCCTGGACTCCAAGGGAGGAGGGACTGGGGGCCCAGATTCCTGGCTCTAGGGAGGGGAAGCATAGGGCTGGGTGATTGCAAAAAACTCCCAAACCCTTCCTGGTCAAAGGCCGCAGGCTGGAGAGGAAGTGGGTGGGGTGAGGGTGGGGGTAAAGTCCCAGGGATGGGCCTTGGCTATGAATGGATCAGGGCCGCTGGCTGTGAATGGATCAGGGCCGCACGGGAGGCCTGGGGTGAGCCTGGGCAACTTGGGGCCTGGGAAGTGGAGAAATGGTATCCAGCGGTGGGAAAAGCCTGCTGTTGGAGTGCAGGGGCCTTGGGTTTGAGGCCCGAGAGCATCAGGACCAAATGAGAGCATCAGGGCCAAACGTCACGGGGTGGGCTGGGGGCCTGGGACTGCTGGTGGTGAGGAGAGGGTCTGGGGGGAAGAGGGACATGTGGCCTGGAGCTGAGATTCTGGGTGAGGGAAAGACAAGAGCCTGATGGGACCAGATTTAGGGATGCCCCAAGAGGAGCTGGGTGTTTGGAGGGACTTTTGCAGGGATATGTCTGAGGTGGGGGGGCCTGGAGGGCAGAGGCAGAGGCACCGAGGTGGGAGAGACAGAACATTGGGGGGTTCCTGTGACAGGGGTGGCGGTGGCCAGGCCGTGATGTGGCCATTTGAGGAGAGAATAGAGGCCGACTTTTTTCCTGACCTGTGCTTAGACTGCTGTAGAATTGCCGTGGTCTGTTCACTACTGGTCTGCAGCCCCTTTAAGGGCGGGGAGGGGTCTAGCACAGGCTGGCTCCCCCAGTGCCTCCGCTGTCAGCTCACAGCTCATCTTGGGTTCTGACTGTCTGAGCCTAGAACTGTCCGAGACTAGATCAGCCCCAGACCAGGAGCTCCTCCAAGCAGGGCCCTGTCTGACTCACCTCTGGGTCTCCAGACTCACTCTTGGCAGAGCCTGGTACTTGAACAGCCTCAGGGAATGTTGAGTGAATGCAGAAGTGAATGAATGGGGCCAGTCTCCCCATTATAAAGAGAAGGAAGTCAGGTCACAGGGAAGGAAGCCATTAACCGAGGGATGAGATTCAGGTCTGGTCCCTAATCTTACCTTACCTACCACCCTCTCTGCCTGGATCACCTGGCACCAGCCACACTGGCCTCTCACAATGCCACAGACATACAGGCACACACCTGCCCCAGGGCCTTTGCACGGGGCTATTCTCCCAGCCTGGAATGCTTTTCCTCCTGACGTTGCCATGGCCTGCTTCCTTCATCTCCCTCAGATCTTTATTCTGATGCCACATCAAAGAGGCTTTCCCTGGCCACCCCAATTAAAACTTCAGCTCCCCTCAACCCCTAACATCTCCTGTTCCCTGCTTCATTTTTCTACTTGGCATGTATCATCATTTAACATACTATATAATTTACTTAGTTATCTTTGAATCCATCTCCTGGGATTAGAGCAGTGCGAACTCATACAAACACAATGCAAGCCAAATGTGTAATTTAAAAATTTCTAGCCACTTTCAACATAAAAATGTAAAAAGGAACAAGTGACATGAATGTTAATGATGTATTTTATTTAACCCAGTACATCCAAAATATTATCAGTGCAATATGTCATCCAATGTAAAAAACACGAATGAGCTTTTTGTCGTACTGTCTTTGAAACTGGGTGTATGTCTTATGCTCAGAACCCACCTCAGTTTGGATTCTCCATTTCAACTTTCCAGTAGCCACACAGGGCCATGGCTCCCGAAATAGCCAGAGCAGGGCTAGAATGTAAACACCTTAGGAAGGCAGGGATCTTTTTCTGGCTGGTCTTTGGCTATATGGCTGATGCCTTGAATAGTGCCTGGCTCACAGCTTGGCTTCTTAGAGAATTAATTCTTAAAAATCTATTTTATTGAAGTATAGTTGGTTTACAATGTGGTGTTAATTTCTGCTGTACAGCAAAGTGACTCAGTTATACATATATATATTCTTTTCCATTAGGGTTTATCACAGGATATTGAATATGTGTCCCTGTGCTATACAGTAGGACCTTGTGGTTTATCCATTCTGTATATAATGGTTGGCATCTGCTAATCCCAAACTCCCAATCCTTCCCTCCCTCATCCCCCACCCCTTGGCAACCACAAATCTGTTCTCTATGTCTGTGAATCTGTTTCAGTTTCGTAGATAAGTTCGTTTGTGTCATATTTTAGATTCCACATAGAAGTGATATCATATGATATTTGTCTTTGTCTGACTTACTTCACTTAGTATGATAATCTCTAGGTCCATCCATGTTGCTGCCAATGGCATTATTTCATTCTTTTTTTAATGGCTGAGGAGCATTCCACTGTATATATGTACCACATCTTTGTCCATTCATCTGTTGATGAACATTTAGGTTGTTATTAAAGAATTATTGAATCAGGGATTCCCTGGGGGTCCAGTGGTTATGACTTGGAGCTTTCATTGCTGTGACCAGGGTTCAATCCTTCGTCAGGGAACTAAGATCCAACAAGCCACGTAGTGTGGCCACACACACACAAACAGAATTATTTAATGAATGAATGGATAGAGAGGTGAATGGGTGGAATGAGTAAAGGAAGATCTGTGGATCCATTTTGCAGACGTGTAAATCGAGGTCTGGTGGAGAAAGGCAGTGGCGGCTGCCTGGGGGATCTGGGGTGGGGATGGAGCCCCCCCTTCCCTGAACCTCGCCCTCTGCTCTCTCCCTGCAGACCATGGCAGCAGTGACCGTGTCGGTGCCCGGGCGGAAGGCACCCCCCAGGCCTGGCCCAGTGCCCGAGGCGGCCCAGCCGTTCCTGTTCGCGCCCCGTGGGCCGGGCGTGGGGAGTGTGCCCGGGGGCTCGGCCATGTCCCCGCAGGTGGAGTGGACGGCACGGCGCCTGGTGTGGGTGCCTTCGGAGTTGCACGGCTTCGAGGCGGCGGCCCTGCGGGACGAGGGCGAAGAGGAAGCCGAGGTGGAGCTGGCGGAGAGTGGGCGGCGGCTGCGGCTGCCGCGGGACCAGATCCAGCGCATGAACCCACCCAAGTTCAGCAAGGCCGAGGACATGGCTGAGCTGACCTGCCTCAATGAGGCCTCCGTGCTGCACAACCTCCGCGAGCGATACTACTCCGGCCTCATCTATGTGAGTGGCCTCCTTCCCCGGGAGGGCGTTGCCCGGGGTGCGGGTCTGGGTGTCAGCACCACAACCTGAACCAACCTGAGCCTGTTTATAATCTTTATCCCATGTCGAATGACTCTGCCTGCACTTACTTGCCAAATGATAAACTATTGCATATCAAGAGTGCCTCAGACCCCATGGGGGCGTCCTGTAATATTATAGGGTAGATGCTCCTTATTATTTTCCTTAAGTTAAAAAAATTCTGAATCCCCAAATATAACACATCCAAAGGTTTTGAGAAAGGGATATGGATCTGTAGTGATAATTAATGGGTATGGAAAACTGCATGCCTGGCTCTGTGCATTTGTTTCCTTTCATCTTACAAATAGTAGAGTGTTTTATACCTAAAAGGAAACCGAGGCCCAGAGAGATTTAATAACAGTAAAAACTAACATTTATTAAGCATGTGCTAGGTACTCTAAAATATATTGTTTCAGTACATTTGCACAATTATAAAGCATTTTGTCCCCATTTTACAGATAAAGAAACTGAGGCACAGAAAGGTCAAGTGCCTTGACCAAGGTCACCCAGTTGGACTTGGCAGACGTGGGTAGTCTGGCTCCAGGCCCCACCACTTTGCCATGATGCCTCTTAGGATTGAGACGGGATTGATGATAGTGAGGTTGACTATGGTCTCTTCTCTGTTAAGCATTCACTGTCTCCCATTAAAAGCAAACAGGTGGAGTAGGGCGGCAGTTCTTAACTCTGCCTTCACGTTAGAATCATGTTAGGAATGTTTTTTTTTTTTTTTTTTTTTTTTTTTTTTTAGGAATGTTTTTTAAATACCGCCACTCAAGCCCCGCCTCACCCCATTTAAATCAGGCTCTCTGAGGGTGTGACTGGTCTTGTTAATAAGCTTCCAGGGTGGTTCTAAGGGACAGCCAAAGCGTTATTCAGGGCAAACAGGATTAGAGAGAGCGACAAGGAATGTGGACTATAATAATGAGAAATAATGATCATGTTGGCTAGCAAATATTTATCAAGCACTTGTGATGTGCCAGGTGCTGTTCTAAGTGCTTCCTGTGGGTTATCAGCTCACTTCTGGGGCGGAGCTTGTTCTTATCACCTGATGTTTCAGGAATGTTAAGTGACTTGGGTCCCAGGTCACATGGACATGAAGGATTTGAACCCAGGCAGCTGGCCCCAGAGTCATGCTCCAAACACTGGCTTAGAGTGCTGGGGTCTCACTACCTTACTCATTTCAACTGACCCCACAAGAAAAACTACAGAATACCTCGCTAAAAGGTATTTTTCCTTTTAGGAAAGGAAAAGTGCTGGTTTTATATTTTTTTAAGAACCACAAAACTTTAATGAGAGGAATAAAAGAATATTTCAATAAATGATGAGATGTATCAAAAAGATAAATAAACTGGCCCCAGTATCCACCTCATTAAGGGTCACAAGCACAAGATTAGAATATTTTTTATGAAATCTGATTCCTGTTTAGGGAGGAGACTGAGGTTGTGAGAGGGACAGTGGCTGGCTCAGGGACCCTCAGCTTTTGGTGGCAGGGGTGGGATTTGAACTGAGGGCTGTCTGGCCCTGGATGGAGGTGGCAGCTTCTCCAGGCTGTACTGGGCCCTTATGATTCCTCACTAACCTTTGCGAGTCCTGGGAAAGAGACCTCTGTCCAGGCCACTCCCCTGGACCTCACCAAAGACAGGGGATCAGAGGGGCACCCAAAACACTGAGCCACCCTTTTCCTGTTAATAAACACTCTGAACCCTCATGGCAACTTTGTAAGGTATCTCCTATCATCCCCATTGTGCAGTTGGGGACACTGAGCCTCAGAGAGGGGCCAGGATTTGGACAAAGCCCCACCAGCTATAAACCAGCTTAACTGGGATTTGAACCCAGGCCATCTGACTCCAGACCCTACATCCTATCCACTGCATTAGGAAGATTATTGGGAAAGTTCAGGGGAAAAAATGGTAAGGCCTGAGCTAAGGCTATGGCCCAAGAGCCAGAGAATTGGGACCTGAAAAATGAAAGTGAGATAGAAGATTCCAGAAGCCCAGACAGGAAGCAAATAGGGCCTTAACAATAATCATTAGCAATTAGTGAGGGCCTGCTTTCTCCATCAGGAGCTGTTCTAAACTTCTTTCCAATATGATCTGTTGACCCCCTCTCCACATAAGGCTGTGAGGTAGGGGTTATCACTTCCTTTGTCCACGGCTTGGAGAGGAGAAGCCATTAGCTCAGGAGTAGCTAACAGCTAACATATTAAACACACACAGGGAGCTCCCTGGAGGTCCAGTGGTTAAGGCTGCAGTGGCAGCGCAGTTTTGATCCCTGGTCGGAGAACTAAGATCCTCGCGTGCCGCGCGGCCAATAAATACACAAACAAACAAACAAATAAATAATTATGCATGCACAGGGCTCCAGGGCCCACGCTGAGCCCTGTACTTGCAGCGGGAACTTGTGGATGGCTCCCAGCAGCCCTCTGTGGAAGCGCTGTTCCCGTCCCTGTGTGATGAGAAAATGGGACCCAGAAAAGTTAAGGTGCTTGCTCAGGCCACACAGCTAGAAGATTCGATTCAAACTCCACCTTGTGCGTCCTTGGGCCCTGCTTAATAAATACTAACTGGCCAACTGGTGATGGGGAAGACAGCGCTTCCCAGTGCAAGGAGTGGGGGGCGTCCAGGGTTCTAGAAACCCAGCTTCTGTCGCTAATAGGCTGTTTGGCCTTGAGTGGCTCAAAGTCTCGGTCCCTTCACAGGGATGCTCAGGGCAGGAAGGGAACCCATCTGCTGGACACTGGCCATGTTTCTGCTCCGTGAGGCACTGGAAGATGCATGGTGGCGTGCCACTCTCAGAATCCTTCTAGACTGTGCGGGGGGCGGGGGTTACAGCTCCATTTTACCAGGACTGGCAACTGAGGCTCAGAGAGGGCGAGCCCCTTGTGCTAAGTCACACAGGGCTCGAAACCCAGGATGACGTGGCATCCGAGTCTGAGTGAACTCTTAGCTTTCAGGTGGGATGGGAACGTGAGCGTCTTGGGACCCATGGCTGGAGTGCCTTTCATGGGGCCCCGCCTTGGGCTGGCTGGTTTTTATTCATTATCATCCTTAATCCCCACAGCCTCTGTAATGAGGTGGGGAGGGTTTCTCAGGGAGAAGACCGAGACTGTGGGGAGAGCCACGGGGCTGAGGAGAGGGGGAGGCAGGGAGCTGCACCCGGTGGGTCTGCCTTCAGAGCTCTGAGGGCCCGAGCAGCTACCCCAGACCCTTCCAGCCAGGTTTTCCGCAGCTGTGCCCCGGCCACTCAGGCGTCCCCGACCCTCTCTAGGCACACCAGCCTCTGCCCTTTGCCCCCTGGCCTTGGCAGCCAGCTCAGGTTCCATCTGGGGTGTCGCCCTGGCCACGAGGTATGGTTGGCAGGAGGGGGCTGAGATGGGGAGTGGCACGGGTCGGGGAGGCTCCTCTGTCAGCCAGGAGTGGGGGCCTGGGCGCCAGCAGCCATGAGATACCCTCCCTGGGAATGTGGTCCGGCCGCCCTGCCCTCGAGAGCTCCTGGGAGCTGCTGGCAGGGAGGGCAGACACCCAGCAAACCGGTTGTGCCACCCGCCCTCCCATCCTTAAGAGCTTGGCACCTGGGAGCCGGCAGCCTGCGGTGGCCACACCCTCGCTCTGCCTGAGAAGCTCTAGCCACCTGGGAGCTTAAAGCAGCTCTGCCACCAACCAGCAAGTAACCGGCTAGCCATTTAGCTAGCTAAGTAGCTAACTAGCTGGCGAAGTAGCTAAGTGGTTTCATAGTTAACTAGCTAAGCCCCTAAGCAGCTAACTCTCTGCTGGATTAGCTAGCTTAGTGCAGCTAACTTAGCTCGTTAGCTCTCTGGGTTGGGTTAGCTAGGTGATCAGCTAGCCCTCTAGCTGTCTAACTGCCTCTATCCATCCTAAGTGCGTCTTGTCTACCCGAGGCTCTGTCCGAGCTGGAACAGTTCTTAAACCGTTACAGGGTCCTGCACTCAGGCCCAACAGCTGTGTGGACAAATTCAGGGTGTCCATGAACTTGGATGCAAAAAAAAAAAAAAAATCACATCTTTATTTTCACTCACCTTGAGAACCTGTTTAGCATTTCCTCCAATAAGAAGGAACCACCAAGACGGTCGTGGAAGCAGGTCCTGTGTGTCTGTTACGAACAGAAACTGCAGACATGCTCTTGTTGTGTTTCAGCTGCTGCAGATACTGGGAGCACCCTTCCAGAAATATTCTATGTGTATTCAAGCAAATTCATAAAAATATTCTTCTTGTACCCCTTTCAGTGCAAACAGTTCTTACCTTGTCTCCTTTCTGTGATAATGTTTTGGAGATAGTTCTCTACCTGTATACAGTATACCAGAAGCATCATAGGAATCCATTATATGACCGAGCATCCGGATTGTCTCCAGTCTTTCGCTGTTTTAAAAATGATGCTACAGATGAACTTGCACATGGTCCTTTCACGTATGTGCGAGTCCAAGCAGTGACAGGGCTCCAGAGCCTACATTCTCTGTGTATGAATCCTCATCTGTACAGCACCTTTATGCAGTTTGGAAAGCTTCTTTTCAACCATCTGCCTGAAACTGTAACAAATGTTCAAATCTACATTGTCATGATGTGAATGGCAGCCCCTTTGCCGGATGTCCTTGTGCAGTGCACAACCTGCCCAGCTGTACACGGCAGCCCCATGCCGCCCTCTGGGCCACAGGCAGGCAGCTAGCTGAGGCCCTCTCCTTCTTGCCCACTGCAGACCTACTCCGGCCTTTTCTGTGTGGTCATCAACCCGTACAAGCAGCTTCCCATCTATACGGAGGCGATTGTGGAGATGTACCGGGGCAAAAAGCGCCACGAAGTGCCGCCCCACGTGTACGCGGTGACTGAAGGGGCCTACCGAAGCATGCTGCAGGGTGAGTGTGGGGCTTGGGCTGCTGGAGGTGCCCCTTCAGTGGGGACTGGGCTGGGGGTCAGGATCAGATGACAGGTCAAGGGTTTCAGACACTGTGAGGCTTCTCTGTGGGGCAGGAGGTAACACCAGTGGAGGGCTGAGTGGGCAAGGCTCTGGGTCCTACCAGACAGGCCCCTTTTTATCTGTCTCTCTGTTCACCCCTTCCCTCAACAAGTCTCACTGGGACCTCACTGTTGCCAGCTCTTGCAAAAATTCCTCTTGAAACAGTGATTCTTAAGACTGTTCATTCATTCAGCATTTATATTGTTGACATGATCTACATTGTCATGGGTGAATGGCTGCCCCTTAGACAACGGGCAGCATGGGGTCGCTGTGTACAGCTGGGCAGGCTGAGCACTGTGCAAGGATGTTCGTCAGAGAGGCTGCCATTCACCCCATGACAGTGTCGATCAGTTCAGGCAAAATTCCATAATTCCCATGTAGTATTCATACTAAACTCATTAGATATTTATTATGTATGCATACATGCATATATATATATATATATATATATATATATATATATATATAAAATACCTGCAAATACCTGCATTATGCACTCAAACATATTTATATATAATGTTTTTATAGTCACGTTATAAATTTGTATTTAGTCAGAGGTAACATTTTATTTGGTTATATAATCTAATTTGTTACATATTTTTTATACTAGTTAATATAACAGGAGTAAATGTTCAAGAAAATAAGAGTGAGTGCCTACTCTGGGTCAAACACTTTTCAGGGATGAACACCTTTAACATCACAGCCACCCTATGAAGGAGGTGTGCTCGTTATCCCTGGTTGCCAGATGGGGAAACTGAGGCATAGAGCAGCACAGTCACTGCCCACCGTCCCACTGGTGGGTCAGTGGCTGAGGTAGGATTCGAACCCAAGGCCCCCAGCTGCAGCTTGCGTGTAGGTCACACTGTGGATCATGTCCTCGTCCTGGGCTGGGCACTGTTGAGTTTTGACATGTGACCCTCCTGGATTCTAATACCTGACCCCGACTCAGCCTCTTGCTTGCTGTGTAATCCTGGGAAAGTGGCTGTCCCTCTCTGAGCCTCAGTTTCTTTTTTTTTCTTTTTTTTGGCCACACCATGAGGCTTGCAGGATCTTAGCTCCCCGACCAGGGATTGAACGTGGGCCCCAGCAGTGAAAGTGCCAAGTCCTAACCACTGGACCACCAGGGAATTCCCCCTAAGCTTCAGTTTCCTCGACCTGTAAAATGGAGACAATAAACTCCAACTGAACAGAATGTAATTCATTCAAGAAACTTCAATTTGAGCCCCTACCATGTTGTTCCTCCTTGTGCTGAGCATGTGAAATTCAAAGACATGAGAGCAAGGTTCTGGATCCCAGGTTCAGCCCTGGATACAAAACAGGCCACAAAACTGTATTATATACTAGCTGGTATATTAAAAAAAAATTGAAGATTCTCTCTGAGTTCTGACTATGGCCCTGTGAGGTAGGGGCTGTTTTGAGCCCCATGTTTCATCTCCGAGATTCTTTTTTTTTTTCTGGCCACGCGGTGCAGCTCGCGGGATCTTAGTTCCCCGACCAGGGATCAAACCCGGGCCCCTGCAGTGAAAGCACCAAGTCCTAACCACTCTGCCCCATTTTTCAGATGGGGAAGGTAAGGCACAGAAGACCTCAGAGACTGACGCAAGGTCACACAGCAAGGCGGGGAGGTGGCTGGGCCTTGAACCCATGTCCATAGGCTCCCAAACCAGGCTGCTAACTCTGAGGCCCTATTGAATGCAGCCCTCTCTCTGGCTTAAAACCACCCAGAGACCTCCTGCCCTCCTTAAAAACCATCCAGACCCTTTAATCGTGGTCTCCAAACCCCTCTGCATCATCTCCAGCTCTGCCCCCTCCCCCAGCCTCACCGGCCTCCTTGCTGTCTCTCAAACATCTCCAGCTTGGTCCCACCACAGGGCCTTTGCACTGGTTGTGCCCTCTGCCTGGAATGCTCTTTCCCTGCTTCCTCGACCTTTAGGGCTGAGCTGAAACAGCACCTCTTCTGAGACGCCTTGTGGCCCTCGACCCCTCCCCTCAGTCACTTCTTATGACTCTAGACCAGGGCTTCTCAACCCTGGCTCTGCTGACATTGGGGCTGGATGATTCTTTGGAGTGGGGGGTCGTCCTGTGCATCATGGGCTGTTAAGCAGCATCCCTGGGCTTTACCACTCAAACCTCCCAGGTTGTGACAACCAAGAATGTCTCCAGACATTGCCAACTGTCAAACCTCCATTTTTAGTTTATGGCGGGGGGGGGGGGGGGTTGTTGTTGTTTGGTTTGTTTGTTTGTTTTGCTGTGCTGCATGGCTTGCGGGGATCTCAGTTCCCAGACCAGGGATTGAACCCAGGCCACGGCAGTGAAAGCCCAGAGTCCTAATCACTAGGCCATCAGGGAACTCCCCTAGTTTATGTGCTTTTATCCCCCACTCAAGCGGATGCTCCATGAGGGCAGGGACCTTGCAAATTCCCACTGCCCTCAGTGTCTGACACTTAGTAGGTGGTCAGTGTGCATTTGTTGAAGGGTTGTGTCAAGCCCAGGGCGAGCGCAGGAGGAGATGGTGGGGACTGAGCTGTGCTCTCTGCCCTCAGGTTGGGCAGATGACCCACCAATGGGCCACCAGTCACCATAACTATGATTCTGTGGCCTGTTGTCCGTTAGAGGCTGAGCCTGGGGCCCAGGATCTCACTCTCATGTCTTTGAATTTCACACACTCAGCACAAGGCAGCACACGGTAGGGACTCAAATTGAAGTTTGTTGAATGAATCACATTCTGTTCAGTTGGAGTTTGTTGTCTCCATTTTACAGGTGAGGACACAGGCTCAGAGAGAGGTAGCTGCTTTCCCAGGGTCACACAGCAAATGAGAGGTTGAGTTAGGATTAGGTATTAGAATCCAGGAGGGTCACATGTCAAAATCCAAGCTTTTCCTTAGCCCTTCGGAAGGATTTTGAAAAGAGGGTGGCCAGTGTCTCGCTGGAGAAATCCTCCCCGGTGACACGTCCCCCTCTGTCCCCTACAGATCGTGAGGATCAATCCATTCTCTGCACGTGAGTAATCCTGAAGGACTTCCTGGAGGAAGCGGGGTCCCGGCTGGGAGTGGCTCTGCTTGGAATGGGCGGGGCTTACCTCGGAACATTGCTGACCCTTTTTGTTTCCCTTTGTGCCCCCCCTTAGCGGGGAGTCTGGGGCTGGGAAGACAGAAAACACCAAGAAAGTCATCCAGTACCTCGCCCACGTGGCATCATCGCCAAAGGGCAGGAAGGAGCCGGGTGTCCCGGTAAGTGACCTGCCTTGGGACATACTCTGGACCCTGCCACCAGCAAGGCCCCCTCCATCTCAGGTTCTGCTTCCCCCCATAACTAACTCCCTGCCTCCCTCATGGAGGGACACAGTTGTGGGCCTTCTCCTGGCTGCCCATACCCCCTGCGTCCCTACTGTGTGCCTGATATAGTGCTGGGAGCAGAGGCAGGGTAGACACAAAAATGTGAAGGCCAGTCCTTGGCCTCATTGGCCCTTGGAACAGCACCTGGCACACAGTAGGTGCTTACATTCCAGAGCATCCACTGTGCGTCAGGCCTGTTTAGGTTCCGGCAATGCCCAGGTTTGCTCTGTAAGTGAGCATTTATATAGTGCCCGTCCCTTTGCTTCTATTACTGTAACACGCCGGTGAGGTGGGTGTGGTCTTCCTGCGTTAAAGACGGGAAGAGTCACAGCTGGGGTGAATTGGTTGTCCGAGGCCGCACACCCAGGAAGGACCAGCCTGGATTCAAACCCCAGGTGCTGTGGGTAACCCTCCCCCCCGATGCCACCCCACTCCACATGGCCAGTTTCCCCAGCCCCTTGTCTCTCCGCCTCACCCCACCCACCACCTGAGACCACCAGTTCACCTGTGTGTCTGTCCACGTTCCATGTGCTGTGTCCTGCTCCGTGTCCCGGTCCGTGTCTCGTGTCCTGTGACTTCCTCAGGCCTCCACCAACACCGTGTCTTATGTGAGTAGTGGGGAATCGCCTCGAGTCCTGTCACCCCTCATACCACCTGGGTCACCCCAAACCACAGTCTTCCTGGCAGACAGGGCCCCCTCGGACACCGGTGGGCACCCCTGCCAGGAAGCCACATTGCCACTTACGACAGTCCCGTGCTGTGCACGCCCAGCCCCACGCTGTCATTTCACACAACACTGCTGTGTGCCACAGGCCCCCCTCACCCCACTGTTGCTTATGGCAGCCCTGCTGCACACACACACCTAGGGCCCATGCTGCCATTAGTGTGGTCCTGCCGCACATGTGCAGACCCCAACCACACAGCCGTTTCTGTTAGCCCTACTGTGTCTGTGCAGACTGGCCACAGATCCCAATGCGAAACAACCCAGAGGCCCAAACTACCATTTATTGTTGATCTGGTAAATATATGTAGACAGAGCCCACAGACACCACGAGTTCACACAACCCACAGACCCACACTGATAGTTACGGTAGGCTTGATGTGTACACCCAGCTCAGGCTAGTGTCTGAGGGCTCACAGGGCACTTGAAGAAATAGTTGGTGTCTTTGAGAGCCTGGCTAGGAAAGAGGGGAAGGGGATTGCTGTTGACTGAGCACCTACTATGTTCCTGGCTCTGCCACTGAGGTGGCTGTAGGGAAGTTCAGAATAAGATCCCTACCCATGGGGGTGGGGGGAGGGATAAACTGGGAGTAGAGGATGAAGAGATGCACATTACCAGGTATAAAATAGATAAACAACAAGGATTTACTGTATAGAACAGGGAACTATATTTAATATCTTGTAATGAACTATAATGGATAAGAATCGGAAAAAGAAGAATATAGGTATATACATATATATGTATAGCCATATCATTCTGCTGTGTACCTGAAACTAACACAATATTCTAAATCAACTATACTTCAATTTCAAAAAAAGGTTCCTATCTTAAAAAAATAAATCAATAAAAAATCCCTACCCATGGATCAGCCTGACTGGGGGAGGAGACTACCAAGCTGCCAAACAGTTCGAAGCACTTTACACGGATGGTGTAGATTTTTCTTTAATTCTACAAGTGATACATGAGTACATATTCACTGTAACAACAACAACAATCAGATAAAGTGAAATTCCTCTTTCCTTCTCTCAGTCCTTCCTTGGAGTGTCTTATGCTGTTGACAGTTTGGTGTGTATCCTTGCAGGCCTTTCTCTAAATGTTTACTGACGTGTCTATCCTTATAGAAATAGGAGTCCTGTTTTGTGGTGTGCTTTTCCCTCAGTTTATTTTTTATTAATGGGATCACACTGTAGGCATTTTCCTGCAGCGTGCTTTTTGTTTTGTTTTGTTTCCACTAACAATGTATCCTGGAGATGTTTCCTCAGATGTTTCCTCGTTCCCTTCCCAGTAGACTGAAGGGCAAGACCCACATGCGGGAAAGAGGGCACACACCCGGACACACAAAGGCCCCCCCCCCCCCACAGACACTCAGCCAGCTGTGACCCAGACCCACCCCCCTTACAGCTGGGCCAACCCCCTCCCCCCACTGACGGGTCCTCCCCCGCGCCCCTGCAGGGTGAGCTGGAGCGGCAGCTTCTTCAGGCCAACCCCATCCTGGAGGCCTTTGGCAACGCCAAGACAGTAAAGAATGACAACTCCTCCCGATTTGTGAGTGCTGGGGGAGGGCGGTGCCTGGGCCTGAGTCAGTGAAACAGGAGCTGGGAGTTTAGGAGGGTGGTGGAGGGGAGGCAGGACGTATGGGTCTGTTGAAGGGGGAGGGGCCTGGGGGCCGTGGCTCCTAGGTCTGAGGGATGAAGGAGCTGGGGACCTGGGTCCCAAAGAAAGAAGTCAAAGGGGCCTGGACCTTGAATTCCCCTAGGAACTGCCCCCCGAACTGGAACCTCACGATTGGAGTGGGGTTCAGTGGAGGGAGAAAGCAAGAGGCAGCCCTGGCTCTGGGAGGGGTGAGTGCGGGTTGGCGGTGCTCTCTAGGCCCACGGGATCCTTGGCTAAGTCCCTCCACCCGCTTCCCTCGCAGGGCAAATTCATCCGCATCAACTTCGACGTTGCCGGGTACATCGTGGGCGCCAACATCGAGACTTGTATCCTCTCACCTCCCAGAGGGGTGCCTGGTGGGGGGACGAGGGGTGGCAGCCAAGGAGGGTGGCTCTTGGGATCTCACCGCTTACGGAAAACAGGCATCCACACTCGCCGGGAAACCTGGCTCCCTGCAGCTCAGAAACTGTGCCTCAGTTTCCCCCTCTGCACAAGGGGAAGGATCCTAGAACCTCAGGAAGGGGCAGAGGCAGCATCTCCACATGAAGGGAGGAGGGCAGGGCCTCCCGGAGCTTTTAGGAGAAGGCCAGCCCAGCCTCGCTATGGGGCGGAGGGTCGGCTATGACTTAACCATAGAGAAAGGTCGCGAGCGCAGGCAGCAAAAGGGGAAGGCGTGTGGGGCTGAATGGGTGGGGGGGCAGAGGCCTTGCCCCATGGAGTCACACGGGACGTGCTTAATTCCCAGGTATGCCAACATGTGTGAAATGTTTTCTACCAGGCATGCTCATCAGAGACTCCGTGCCCAGGGTTTTTACTGGGGGCTGATCACATAGGCACCCTCTCCCTGGCACGTACCCAAATTCCGGAATCCCTGCAGGAAAGCGGGTGTTCAGAAGAAACCATGTTGTTTTGCACAAACAGTTTAGGTGCAGGGAGCCCCTCCTATCAGCCAAGGAAGGCTGGGAACCCTCCCGAAATCCAGATTCCCAGACACCAGCCAGAGGCGGGCTTTGCAGGCCGGCTGGCTCAGGCCGGCTGTGTCAAACCTTTCCCACACATGCTCGGTAGGAATTTAAAAGATAAACCCCAGAAGCTCCAGGAGTGCAGCGCATAAGAGAACGAGCAAAGAAATCACACCCACCCGCTTTCGAATCCCAGCTCTGACACTTTGAGGCTCTTGAGCACGTGATTTGACCTCTCCGGGCTTCAGTTTCCCCCTCTGTAGAAGGGGACGGATCGTTGAACCTACTCTGGAAGGGTCCGAAGTGAGGCAGGTTCTTAGCGTGGCACCTGTCACATCGTAAGCACTCAAGCATGAGCTCTCTGGGAACTCCCTGGCGGCCCAGTGGTTAGGACCCGGCGCTCTCACTGCCGAGGGCCCGGGTTCCGTCCCTGCCTGGTCGGGGAACTAAGATCTCACAAGCCGTGTGGCACGGAGGAAAAAAAAAAAAAAGAATGAGCTATCATTATTAGGAATGAATGATTAGATTAGCAGTGTCCTTATAATGTTAATATTGATATTCATAACAAATCACATCCCCATCCCCTCGGTATCTAAGCTCACTGTCTCCCCCCACCCCCCGTAATCGGGGGCTGGGGGGAGGGTTGAGAAGCAGTGTGTTGGTGAAGGGTTTTTCCTAAGAGGGCTTAGGGAGTAAGGAAACAGGGATCTCGCTGTCAAGCAGCTGGGCCCCATGGACTCTGCTGCCACCTGGTAACTTCTTCCTTGGGCTCAAGGCCTCATGTCCCCTGCCGCCACCAGCTTCTGATCCCCACAGTTCCTGCGGCCCGTCACCCCTCTGCATCATGGTTCCTGCTCACACAACTTCTTAGAGCTCACGGCTCTCCCTGCCCCATCCATCCTGCCATCCCAGGCCTCCACGGACCCCGGAGTCTTCTCTGCCTGCTTCCAAACGCTAACTTTCTCCCATCTACACTCCCCATCCAGTTGGGGCTGCCCCCACCAGGCATGGCTCTCCTTCCTGGCTGTCTCTGCCTCGGGGCCAATGACCAGCCTGTGGTCATTGGTGTTCGCGGGGCAGGTGCCACCCCCGGGGTCAAACAGATGGATCCCGGGCTTGGCCTGACCCCTCACACCAGCATCAGCATGTCCAACATTTCTTGAGGGTTTACTGCGTGCCTAGCAGTGTCTTGAGAACTCTCCATATGTTAACTCAGTTCCTCGTCTCTGTAACCCTGTGAGGCAGATGCTGTTATCCCATTTCACAGACGAGGAAAACGAGGCTCGGGGCTGTCATCACCCAGGGTCTCACAGGTCGTGCATGCTCCCTTCAGCCCACCTTGCCCTGTGGGACCTCCTCCCGTGGGTCCTCCCTGTCTCACCCAAGCAGGTTAGCGCCCCAGGGTGTTGGGTCAATGGTTTGCAGTCCACCTTGGGCGAGGCTCCCCAAGGCAGGTCCTGCATTATGACAGTTGTGCACAATATGTGCTCGGAGGTCCCTGAGTGAAGGACACAGACGGCCACACCAATTATCAGATGTTTTATTTTCCTTTAAGGCGTCTCACCAATTTTCAGTGTGTAAACGTGCCATGTGGCTTTCCCAGAGGGAGAAGCTGAGAGCCCCAGTAGTCATACGGGGAAACTGAGGCTGAGAGGGTCATGACAGCAGGAGGTATTCTTATCCTTGGTAACGAAAAACCAGGCACAGCTCCAGCGTCTGACACATAATAACTCATTTACCCCGACAGCACCTCATAGACTCATGGACGGGTGTTATTATCGGGCCCCTCGCACAGATGAGGAAACTAAGGCTTGAGGCTTAAGTGACACATGTCCAAAGCCACTGGTCCTGTTAGCGACCAGGTCGCCGGCCGGGGCTATGAGTGACTCCACTGTTCCACGGGATAGCAGGGGGTTCCCCTCCATGGAGCACCTTAACTCACCCCCCACCCAGACCTGCTGGAGAAGTCGAGGGCCATCCGCCAGGCCAAGGACGAATGCAGCTTCCACATCTTCTACCAGCTGCTGGGAGGCGCCGGGGAGCAGCTCAAGGGTTAGTGTCCAGTGGCTCCCCACCCCTCCCCGGGGTCTGGGTGGGAGCCGCGTGTGGACCCCCTGGGGCGGAGGACATGGGAGGCACTAACCTTTGTCAAGCACCTGCTTTGTGTCAGGCTCCTGCTGGGTGGTGGATTCTCTCGCCTCCCGGATCCCACCGCCCCTGGTTTCTGCCGCCTCTCGACTCCTGCCACCCCCAGACTCTGCTGCCCTCTGGTTCCCGCTGTCTCCCAGGTCTTGCTCATGCCAGCTACGTGGCCACGTGTCTCCTGCCCACACTCACTTCTCTCCTGAAACTCCGGGGCTCTGCTTACTCCAGCGGGTGCTGTAACAACTCCAGCTTTGCCATCTCGTGGTTCCCGAAGATCGTGGTTTGCGTGGCTTGTAGGCTCCTGCTGCCTCATGGCTCCTGCCTGAGACTCCTTCTGTCTCCTGCTCTGCGCGCCTCCAGCCCTCTGGCTGTGGAAACGCCCCAAGGCTGTCTCGTCTACAGTGGCCCCGCTGCCCTGTGGCTCCCTGTCATTCTGGCTTCTTCCACCCCGTAGCTTGGGCCGCCTCCTGGCCCCTCCGCACCCAGCCTCCTGCTTACGGTGGCTTCCGAACCCTGTGCCATCGACCCCTCCTGTCCCATGGCTTCTGCTAACTCAGGCACCCGCAGCCCTGTTGCTTCTGCCAGTGGGCGGCTCCTGCCTTCTCTGGGCAACTCTGCGACTTGAGGATCATTATGGAAGGAGGGAAGAGGAAAGGTCTAATATGTGCTAAGTACCCACTTCACGCCTGGCCCTTCCCACCAAACCCTTGAAGAATGGATCCCCACTCGTTTGACAGAGGAGGAGACCGAGGTTCCTAGTGGGGAAGTGATGCTCTTCCTGGGGTGGCTATTGAGGAAGCCGGGACTTGAGTCTGACTCTACAGCTCATTCTTGACCTTGGCCTCCCCCCGTTATTCCTACAGCCGACCTCCTCCTCGAGCCGTTCTCCCACTACCGCTTCCTGACCAACGGGCCATCATCCTCTCCGGGCCAGGAGCGTGAGCTCTTCCAGGAGACACTGGAGTCCCTGCGGGTCCTGGGATTCACCCACGAGGAAATCACCTGTGAGTGAGCCATGAGCCCAGAGCCCCCCATGAAGGATGGGGGTGGACACCTGGCCATTCATTGCTTGGTTTGAAAACTAAAACAGGGAACGGAGGAAGGAGGAAGCTTTAAGTAGGGGATCGGGAAGGACACACTGAGATGGTGATGTTTGCGCAAAGGCCTGGAGAGCCGAAGGTGTGAGCATTGGTGCTATCTGCGAAGAGCGGTCTAGGCAGGGGGAAACAGCGTGTGCAAAAGCCCTGAGGCAGGAAAGGTGTGGCATGTTTGAGGAATTGAAACTTCTCGAATGGATTCAATTAGTGGGTGACCCAGGGGAGTGGGGAGATGGAGCCACAGAGGCAGGTGGGGTCTCAAATGCCAGCCTGAGGGGCTGGGATTGGTCCTGAGGGCACTGGGGAGCCATGGGAGGGCTGGGAGCCGTGGAGGAGCAGCTCTGGGCCGTGTGGAGGATGGACTGGAGGGCACGAGGAGGCTGAAGTGAGGGTGCAGGGAAGACCCTGCCCCTGGCCCAGGCTCTTCCTTGGTTGGTCTGGGCTCGGGGGCACTGGGGTGAAATACTCAGCTCATTATCCGTGTTCTGCGGCTTTGCCCCCCACCTTTCTCACCAAACAGTACCTTTTGACAGTAGTTCCGTTGCAGTACTGTACTCGTTTGCCAGGGCTGCCATCACAAAGCACCATAAACCGAGTGCCTTAAACAAGTGAAGTTGATCACGTCCCAGGTCTGGAGGCCAGAAGTCCGAGATCGAGGTGTTGGTGGGGTTGGTCGGTCCTGGGAGAATCGGTTGCCTCCCCCTCCCCTAACTTCTGGTGGTTTCCTTGTTAGAAACGTCACCTGACCTCCGCCTTCAGCCTCATGCGGCGCGCCCGCCCCCCTGCCCAAGCATCTGTATGCAAATCTCCCCTTTTATGGGACACCCCTCATTTTGGATCAGGGGCCGCCGCACTCCCGTGTGATCTCATCTTAACTTAAATAATTACAGCTGCAACGACCCAACACCCAAATCAGGTCACATTCTGAGAGGTCCCAGGCGTTAGGATTTTAATGTATTTTTGGAGGGAGTAGGGGGACACGATTCAACCCATTATGCGCACATAGAGGGGGAAATCTCAGTCTTTTTTCCGGCTACCTGGCATTTCATTGTCTGGATGAATTGTGATTCCTTTCACCAGTCCCGTGGAGACCTTGATTTCCAGTTCTGAGCGGGTCCGGGGCTGGGTCTCATTCTCCTCTGGTCTCTGGGGCTGCGGAAGGCCTCGGGAGCCACTGTGGGCTCCAGGGCCAATGGGGAGGGCTGGAGACCCAGTGCCAGGTTGGCTGTCCACCCAGGCAGCATACAGGCCAGCGTCCTCAGGCATATTGACACAGGGTCCCAGGCCTCCCTGCTAGATTTCCCAACCACGGGTTGCGTAACTGCCCTGCTCCTCCCTGGGCAACTGACAAACAAATTCAGATGGAGGCCACAGTGGGGGCCTGAGCCCCTCAGGTACCGCCTGCCCTCCTGACACAGGTCACCTCAAGTAACCCTCCTGCCGTGTGGTGGGCGCGGGTAGCAGCTCCAATTTTTCCAGTCCCGAAACAAAAATTTTGCAGCACCGTCGGCGTGTAGTGACATAATCTGAATATGATCAAAGGTCATCGTGTGAAAACCGAGTCGCCCTGGGCCCCTCTGAGCCCAGTTTTCCACTGTTAAGTTTCCTGCATCTCCTGCCAGAAATATTTCAGACATGTAAGAAAAGACACACATTATTCTCCAGCCCCAGGGCTGATGTTCTTCTGTCATGTTGATCAAAATGTTACCGAATTTCTGGGACTTCCCTGGTGGTCCAGTGGCTAAGACTCTGCGCTTCCACTGCAGGGGGCATGGGTTCAATCCCTGGTGGGAGAACTGAGATCCTGCATGCTGCCCGCCCACCCCCACCCCCAAAAAATGTTACTGTATTTCTCTCCTGATTTAAAAGTTCCTGCACAGTGGTTGATCCAGATGGGCCCCACCTCCCTGACCTTCCTCCCAGTACCCGCTCAGAGGCACCAAGTAACAATGAAAACACCTGGCATATCAGGCCCCGCACCCTGGCCTGGGTCCTGGGCGGCACTGGGATAGAACGCTCAGCTCATCGCCCCCCGTGCTAGCGTGGGCTTTGTCCCCTACTTTTCCCACCAAGCAGCGTGTTTGGCAGTCATTCTGGTTTTGTAGGTATAGGTGAATTTCAGGTTTTTTTGTAGTTGCAGAAGGTTTCACTGTTTAGATGAACTGTGATTCTTGTAACCTGTCTGTCCCTTGCAGACACACCCTTCGGGTGACTGCCTCCTATTGCTGTTGGAATCAAAAAGTGCCAGGAATATCCTTATAAGTAGATCTTTGTGCTCGTGGGCGAACAGAACTGCAGGATCAGTTCTTAAGCCACAAAATACTGAGTCCAAGGAGAGGTGCAGTTTTTGGTTTTATCCAGCTTTCACGGAAATCTAACAGCCTTATTGAGATATCATTCACATACCAAAACATTTACCTATTCAAATTATATGTCAGGGAATTCCCTGGCGGTCCAGGGGTTAGGACTCCGCACTTTCACTGCCAAGGGCCCAGGTTCGATCCCTGGTTGGGGAACTAAGATCCCGCAGGCCCTGTGGCGTGGCCAGATACAAGCCAGTGGCTTTTAGTACCTTCAGAGCTGTGCAGCCATCCCCACAATCAATTTTAGAACATTTTCAGTGACCCAAGAAGATAACTTGTTCCCCTTTGCGGTCGTCTGCTGGTTTTCCAATGCCAGCCCCTGGCAACCACAGATCTGCTTCCTGTGTCTATGGATTTGCTTATCCGGGACCTTTCATATAGATGGAATCATACAATATATCATCCTCTGTGGCTGGCTTTCTTCCCTCGGCATTATGGTTTGAAGTTTCATCCATGTGGTCGTATGTATCCGTGCTTCCTTCCTTTTTACTGCTGAATAATTTTGCTTTTTACCTTTGTCTTACGGAACCTTTCAAACAGGTATGCAAGTAGAGAGCAGAGGGTTGTGAACCCCCCACCCCTCCCCCAGGAACCTGGCACCAGATCCAGCAGTTAACGGGCTCATGACTTCTTGGCTTTCAGCTCTAACCCCCAGCCCCTTTCCCTTCCCCCAACCCCACTCTGTTTTTTTAAATTGTACTGAATCGACCTCGCCGCCGTCCAGAAGGTGGCGCTAGTTTCCAGTTTCTCCCACCCTGTGTCTGGAGCACCTGTTCCCCCGACGTGGTTGTCAGCAACCACTGTTGTCAGCTTTTTTGCTTTTGCTGGTGTGGCAGGTGGATGGGGTCTTATAACAGTGTGATTTTGTGTCTCACTTCCAAGGAGTGGAGCCAGCCAGTCACCTTTTTTCTAGACTCTCCTTTGGAAGAAAGAGGAGACAGAGATGGGGAGTTCCCTGGCGGTCCAGTGGTTAGGACTCGTAGGTTAGGGATGGCCCTGGGTTCGATCCCTGGTCGGGAAACTAAGCTCCCACAAGCCTCATGGCATGGCCAAAAAGAAGGACACAGAGGTCCAGGGAGGTGGGGTGTCTGCCCTATAGGACTCACTGCCTTTGATGAGGTGGTGGTGGAACCCGGGTCTGACTCCAAAGCCAGCCCGTGATCCGTTTCCAGAGAGGCAGGTGGGCGCCTCTGGGTCGCCCACGGGAAGCCCAGGGCAGAGAGCGTTCGGGGCCAGTGGAAGCAGGACCTCCACGCCCCTCCTCACTTCCCATCCACGTTGGCGCCGTAAATGCCACCAGGGAGGTGGAACAGGCAGCCTAGCACGCAGGGAGGTGAGCTCCTGTCACGTGAGGCCGTCGTAGCCTCGCCAGCCCCGCGCCTCCGCCCGTGCAGGTTGGGGCTTGCTTACTGCCGGCTGGGTTGAAGTCAGCAGCCAGAGCTGACTGCCAACCCCTCAGGCGTCAGGTTCGCCGGGTGCTTGGAACCCACGTAGGTTCGGAAGCCAACCGTAAAAGGCCACCGGGGGAGCTCGAGTCTGGGTCGGGTCTGAGCTGATGTTAAGAATGAATAATCATCCGGTTTGTTAGGGGTGATGATGCCTTTGTGAGTCTATCAGGAGATGTGCTCATTTATTTATCTTTCGGGAGGTACCTCGCTGCCCTGCCGCAAAACCTCCCAGCGTTTCTGGGACCCTGGGCTGTTCCCGACACCCCAGCCCCCTGACCCCCCCGCCCAGCCCCTCCCACTGCCCAGCAGGGGAAACCTAGGCCCAGGAGGCCACTGGCTTGCCCCAGGTCACGCCTCAGTAATGCACCCCCCACTAGTTAACTCTCGGCCATTTGTTCATTCGTATATCGATTCATTCAACACATGATGGAGTCTGCGGGCCAGACCCCTGCAGACCTGGGAGAAATGAACTGTGACCGAGACAGAGCAAGCCCCTGCCCCCTGGAGCGCTGAGACCCAGGGAGCATCAAATCACACAAGTGGATTAAAGTTGATCCCCTGGAAGAGTGATGGCTGGAAGGTGCATGGAGTAGTGACTGTGGGTCAGGGGGGTGGGGGGCGGGGTCTCGGAAGGGGCGGGGCAGCCCCTGGAGGAGGCGGCGCTTGGTTGAGCCCTGATGGTCAGGCAGGAATTAAGCAGGTGTAGGTGGTTCTGGACCGCCTCTATGGGGAGGGAACGCCCAGGGCAAAAGCCTGGGGGCAAGAGAGGGTGTCAGGTGTTGGCGGGGATTAAAGAGGTTGGCCTGGCTGGTTGGAGTAACTGAGGGGACCCGAGGCTGGAGCAGGTGGGAGGATCGGGGACAGGGTGCCGAAGACCTTGATAAGGGATAAGATTGAATCCCAGAAGTAGTGGGGACTGTGGAAGGAATTCTTCCCCCCAGAGTGGCAAGCTGAAGTTCATTCGTGAACGCATTTATGGAGTGCTTACTGTATACAGAGGATACAGTTAGAAGGTGAATAAGGAACAGATACTTTCCACAAGGAGTTACGATCCTGATGGAGATTGAAAGGAAAATTCAGATTTGTTGCACACCCC